CCCTCCACCTCCTCCAGAACTTCCAATTCCCCGGTCCCCAACACCTCATCTTTACCATGGACGTCCAGTCCCTCTACACCTGCATTCCCCATGCAGATGGCCTTAAGGCCCTCCGCTTCTTCCTGTCCCGCAGGCCCGACCAGTCCCCCTCCACTGACACCCTCATCCGCTTAGCCGAACTCGTCCTCACACTCAACAACTTCTCTTTCAATTCCTCCCACTTCCTACAGACAAAGGGGGTAGCCATGGGTACCCGCATGGGCCCAAGCTACGCCTGCCTCTTTGTAGGTTACGTGGAACAATCCCTCTTCCGTACCTACACCGGCCCTGAACCCCACCTCTTCCTCCGTTACATTGAGGACTGTATCGGCGCCGCCTCGTGCTCCCACGAGGAGCTCGAACAGTTCATACACTTCACTAACACCTTCCACCCCAACCTTAAGTTTACCTGGACCATCTCAAAATCTCCCCTCCCCCCACCGCATCCCAAAACCAGTCCAGCTCGTCCCTGCCTCCCTAACCTGTTCTTCCTCCCACCTATCCCCTCCTCCCACCTCAAGCCGCACCTCCATCTCCTACCGACCAACCTCATCCCGCCCCCTTGACCTGTCCGTCCTCCCTGGACTGACCTATCCCCTTCCTAACTCCCTACCTACACTCACCTTTCCTGGCCCCATCCCCGCCTCTTCGACCTGTTTGTTTCTTCTCCACCTATCCTCTCCTCTATCCCTCTTCTATCCGCCTCCCACTCTCTCCCTATTTAGCTCACCTGCTAAATTGTGTTTGACTCTCTGAGATTGAATAAGTCCAGATCAGTTGCAGATCTGCTTATTGCTGGCTGACAGCATGTCAGAATCCATGAGGAAAGGCATCAACATCCCATCTATAAGTGTTAGTGGGAATGGGAGGAAAGTAAAAATCAACTGCCTATTTCACTACTGAACATGAAGTAAAAAAATTCTATACTAAATCACTGCCAATTGGGTCAAGTCTGCTCTGGAAAAGATGACTGACCCTGACTAGTCTTGCACTGTATCAGACAGGTAGATTTCTTACAGTCTCAAGCTTTGCGAGGGCCCATGGTTTCGACATTGCCTCAATCAGGGTAGGGGTAAGGCCTTTTACACAATATCCCACGCCTACATGATAGATGTGCTTTCTAAGATTTAGTTTGAGATGGGACTTCAAATTTAGACCCAACTGCTCTGCATAGGTATCATAGATATAGTTTCAATCAACCAGAAGATTGTTTTCTGATCTATAGAAATCAATCTGATCAAGCTGGAGTCAGGTAGGGTTGTCCACTTTCACTGTTCTGTTCATATGCTGCACAGTACCTTTTACCGAGTCAGTCAGGAGAGACATGTACCTAAGAGGGGTGAATATCCCAGGTAGTAGGGGCATGCAGGTCAAAGCCTCTCTGTACCTGGATAATATTGCCATTTTCTGTTCAGACTGATGACCATCTGGGACTAGTTCAAACTGGCCTTCAGAGCCAAGATAAATTGAGGCAAGGGTGAATGCTGAACTGGCTGTTCCTGGGGCACACAGAGATAAACATAACTGTGGTTGAAGACTTGCTTGTCTTCCAATGTAAAGAATCGCCTTCAACAGAGTGTTGCAGACTCGCACATTCCATGGTTCAGGTGTGGCTGCAGAGTGCTGCCTAGAGCTTTCACTCCTAGCACACTCATAGCTCTGCAGCCCACCATGTACGTACCGACGATGATGACATCCGAAACTAATCCCATCTACCTGCAGAACCCCTCCAGGTCTGTGGGTCAGACATGGAACATAGATTGTGAACAACAAAGGTTTTGAAATTAAATTGAGATGCCTCGGATTGGAACATGCTGTATCAAGGAAAGTTTAATTCTATTGCACTTTTCATTAACATTCAAGTTGAAATATTTGTTCTGTATTTTTTCAAATTTTAGGAGCAAAACATTTTTAAATTACAATTTTCACACACTGCTTTTAACAAGAGTGCCATAATAATAAACACAAAGCATGGAACTCATTGTTAGCTCTTTTGGCTCACTGATGAAGATGTCTGCAGTTATCAATGAGAAAATGAATGAAGTTTTCCAGAATAGCATTGCTGTTAACATGTCCTTGTTATGTTGATGGAGTTCCAATGATAGATATTCCAACTTCTCACGGCTTTTTCAGATTTTCCGAACTTTCTGAAATGAATAGCTTTCAATTATTTATTAATATAAAAATAATTAGACACTCCCCAAGCAGAGCGTTGCATTAGTGCCTCCAAATCCAAATGAATTAGTCAGTGCAATACGCCTTCTTGAAGTTATCCATTCTTGTGCTGTTATAGGAACATAATTCAAATCAAAATCAGGCTCTGTCTTATCAAGATTCAGTGTAGGAGGAAAGATCCCATGAAAGCAGGCCAGTGCTGTAAATGCAGTTTCAATGGCTCCAGCCGCCCCCAGGAGATGACCAGTGGCTCCTTTAGTGGAAGAAACAGCAAGGGAACGTGAATGCTCTTTAAACAGTCTCTTAATGGCTTGGTTCTCAGCTGCATCCCCTAGTGGTGTGGATGTGGCATGGGCATTGATGTATGTAACATCCTCTGGCGTTATTCCGGCATCATTCATTGCAGCTGACATACATCTGAGAAAAGTCAAGAGTTAATACTAAATTACATTCACACAAATCTCAAATGAGATTAAACTAAAAATATTAACCTACAAGGAAAGCATGTAATTGTATGCACTAAATTAAGGCTCATTATTGGAAAGCTAGTCTGTTCTTTCTCTACAAAATGCTGCCTAACCTGCTGTATTTTCTCAGTAGGTATGCTTTTTATTTATCATTAAACAGTAAAATGTAGGTTATAAATTGTGAGGGCTCTTGTGATGCAGTGTAGTAACTGTACCTCTCAGACAGGAGACCCGAGTTCAAGTCTCACCTGTTCCAGAGATGTGTAATAAGACCTCTGAACATGTTAATTAAAAATATCTAGGTTACAAATTATGTGACTAGCTAATATGTTATACTTTTTTAATCTCAAAATTGTACAGGTAGGTCACCTCAAATCTGGCACCCTTGGGATTGAGGCCTTCCTAGATTTCAGATATTTTCAGATTTCCATTTGGGTGGTTGAGTTGAGGTTGGTTTAGTTCAAGGCAGGTTGGGTGGGATCAAGAGTTAGAACATAGACAGTACAGCACAGGAAAAGGCTCTGCAGCCCACCATGTACGTACCGACGATGATGACATCCGAAACTAATCCTATCTACCTGCATATAGTCCGTATCCCTCAATTCTCTGTATGTTTATGTGTCTGTCTAAATGGCCCTTAAACTTTGCTATCATATCTGCTCTACCATCTCCCCTGGCAGCGCGTTCCAGGTACCTTTTACCATCTGTGGAAAAAAAACCTGCCTTGCACATCTGTAAACCTACTCCCCCCTCACCTTAAACCTATGATCCCTGCTTGTTGACATTTCCATCCTGAGAAAAAACTCCGACTATGCACCCTATCCATGCTTTTCATAATTTTATATACGTCTATCAGGTCAGCCTCTGAAGCTCTAGCTAAAACAATCCAAGTTTGTCCAACCTCTTCTTATAACTAATACACTCCAATCCAGGCAAAATATTCCAGTAAACCTCTTCTGCATCCTCTCCAAAGAGTCCACATCCCTCCAGTAGTGTGGTGACCACAACTGCATACAGTACTCCAAATGTGGACAGACCAAAGCCTCATATTGCTGTAACATGGCTTGCCAACTTTTGTACTCAATGCCCTGACCAATGAAGCAAGCATGTCGTAAGCTTTCTTTACCACCTTTTCCACTTGCGTTGCCTCTTTCAGGGTGCTATGGACTTGGACCTGATGATTTCTCTGTCTATCAATGCTTCTAAAAGTCCGACCATTTACATTGTACTTTCCTCCTGCATTGGACTTTTCAAAATGCATCAATTCGCACTTGTCCGAAATAAACTCCATTTGCCATTTCTCCCCATCTCTTCCTTCCTGCAACAGCGATAGGGTTCCCCTTGTCCTTACCTACCATCCCACCAGCATCCACATCCAGAAGATCATCAGACGCCACTTCCGCCAGATCGAGTGAGATGACACTGCCAAACACATATTCCCCTCCTCTCTCCTCCGCCTTCCGTAAGGGACTGTTCCCTCCAGGACACCCTGGTCCACTCTTCCTTCATTCCCAACATCCTCCCACAGCCCCAAGGCACCTTCCTCTGTGAGCGCCAAAGGTGTAACACCTGCCCATTTACATCCTCCCTCCCCCACATACAAGGGCCCAAACACACCTTCCAGGTGAAGCAGCACTTTATCTGTACTTCCCACAATCGAGTCTACCGCATTCGGGCTCAAAATGCGGTCTCCTCCACATTGAGGAAACGAAGGGTAGATTGGGTGACTGTTTCACAGAACATCTACATTCTGCACACAAGAGACCCTGAGCTTCCAGTTGCCTGCCACTTTAACACACCACCCTGTTCCCTGGCCAACATCTGTGTCTCAGGCTTGCTGTAATGTTCCAGCGAAGCTCAGAGCAAACTGGAAGAACAACATCTCATTTTCTGCTTGGGGACCGTGTAGCCCTCCGGACTCAATAGTGAGTTCAATAATTTCAGGGCCTAAACTCTCCCATGTCCTAGCCCCCTATCCCACACACCAGACCTTGTTATCACATAGCCTGCCATTACACACTACCTATTGTTAGTCACTAACAGTCCCCATTAACAGCTATTCACCCTCCTAGCCAGATCGTTATCAACTCCTTTTTCTGTCCACTGCTGTTCTTTCTCTTTGGGCTCTATCCCCACCTATCATTTATTCCTTACCCCCTCACCCTCCCCTATCTTCTGCACATAAACCGACATTTTCCTCGCTACCATCAGTTCTGAGGAAGGTTCACTGGACCCGAAACATTAACTCTGATTTTTCTTCACACATGCTGCCAGACCTGCTGAGCTTTTCCAGCAACTTCTGTTTTTGTTTGTCATTTCTCTGCCTGATCTATATCCTTTGCTATCCTTCCTCACTATCCACAACTCACCTATTTTCAGCTCATCTGCAACTTACTAATCAAACCACTTATATTTTCATCCAAATAATTTATATATATTACAAACAGGGGATCCAGCAGTGATCCTTGTGGAACACCACTGAGCACAGACTTCCAGTCAGAGAAACATCCCATCACAACTACCCTCTGTCTTCTCTGGGCACATGAATTTAGATTCCATGTGATTTGATCTTCTGGACCAGCCCATCATGAGGGACCTTACCAACTGCTCTAGTAAAGTCTGTGTAGTCAACATACAATGCCTTATCCTCATCAATCATCTTTGTCACTTCCTCAAAACACTTAGTTTGTGAGACAAATCCTCCCCTGCAAAAATCCATGCTGACTATCCCTACTGAGTCCATTCTTCCCCAAATCCAAGTAAACCTGTCCCTAAGAATCTTCTCAATAATTTTCCTACCACTCATGTAAGGTTCACTCATTAAATATTTCACGATAGCTGAGAGGCTGATTCTCCAGTCTGCCGAATCTAGGGAACAGGTCAATTGCTAAGACTGAGATGGGGAGGCAGTTTATCTCTTGTAAGGTATGAAATGTTGGAAATGTCTCCCCAGTGAACTCAGGAGTTCTAAGGCACTAAGTAGTGGAGCTGATGTAGATTGTCAGCCATGATTATACTGCATGGCAGGAGTTCAATGGATCAAGTGGCCTACTCTTTCTCATATTTCTTACGTTCTTAAATAACAATTTGGCAAAGTGCACATCTCAGGCTTTAAGCTTATAAGTAAAATTAAATAACATCATGGTGTGGCATGGTGGTTCACTGCTGCCTCACACTGTCAGGGACCCAGGTTCAATTCTAGTCTTGGGTGACTATCTTACATGGAGTCTGCACATTCTCCATGTCTTTGGAGATTTCCTCCACAGTCCAAAGAGGTTAGGTGGACTGGCCAAGCTAAGTTGCCTGTAGTGTCCAGGGATGTGTAGGCTAGGTGGATTAGTGGGGATATTGTGGGAGAGTTTGGGTCTAGTTGAGATGTTCTTCAAGGGATTGGTGTGGACTCAATGGGCCAAATGGCCCTCTTTCTGCACTGTAGGGATTCTATGATTCTAGGATCAAACAGACAGTTTAAAAACCTCCAGGGCTACAACTGTAACCTGCATTTATATACTGTCTCTAACATAGCAAAACATTCCAAGATGCTTCACAGGAATATTATCAAACAAAATTTGACATTGAGCCACATAAACAGACAGGAAGGCAGATGACCAACAGCTTGGTCAAAGAATCAAGAAAGGAGATAGACAAAAAGCAAGAAACTTTCTGCCAGTTAGCCTGACATTTGTCACTGGGAAAATGCCATAATCAATAATTAAAGAGATGTTGAGAAAATAGTGACTCAACTAAGCAGGGTCAACATATTTTTCTGCATGGGAAATTTATTAAAGTTCTTGAGCATAAAGCAAGGAGAGTAGATAAAGGGAACTTGTAACTGAAGCACATTAGATTCCAAAAAGCATTTGATAAGGTATCCCTAAAAGGATCATTGAGCAAAATGAAAGCTTATGATTTTAGTGATGACATATTAGCATGGATAGAGGGCTGACTAACTAATAGGAAACATAAATGGAATAAATGTGTCAATTTGAGATGGAAACCTTTAACACATGGAGTGCCACAGGGATCATTGCTGGGGCCTCAGCTATTTGTGATTTACATTAATGTCTTGAATGAACAAACTGACTACGTTGTCACCAAATTTGTTGATTACATAAAGATAGGTAGAAAAATAAGTTATCTATATCATTTTGCAGACTCCTCATAAGTTAAATCAGTAGGTAAATATTGGCACATGGAGTATAATGCAAATTTGAAGCTGTTCACTTTGGCAGGAAGATAGAAAAACAGAATATTCTTAAATGGACAGAGACTGCAGTAGAAAGGGATCGGAGTATCATTGTGCATAAATCACAAAACATCAGCATACAGGTACAGCAATCAGGAAGACAAATAGAATGTTGGTCCTAATTTGGATGACCTTTCTTCAGAACTGTAGTTGGATTGAGTGGTTAAAGTGATAGATTAGAAAACCAGTGGGGTTTCCCCACACAGGGAGTTCTGAAGAAAGGTCACTGGACCTGAAACATTGACTCTGCTTTCTCTCCACAGATGCTGCCAGACCTGCTGAGTTCCTCCATCAATTTCTGCTTTTGTTTCAGATTTCCAGCATCCATAGTTCTTTGTCTTTTGTTTAGCAAGAAGGTTATGATGGAGCTGTATATAACTTTAGTTAGGCCAAAGGTGGAGTCCTGGGTGCAATTCTGCTTGTCATATTACAGCGAGAATGTGATTGTACGAGAGAAGGTGTAGAGAAGGTGTAGAGGAGATTCACCAGGATGTTGAATGAGCTGCGGTGATTCAGCTATGAAGAAAGACTACACAGGCTGGGGTTGTTTTCCTTAGAGAAGTCCAAGAGGGGACCTGATTGAGACGTAAAAAGTTATGAGGGCATAGATAAGGTGTATAGGGAGAAATGTTTCCCATTAGTAGAGGGTCAATAACCAGGAACACAGATTTAATGTACAGAGTGGAAAGTTTAGAAGGGATTTG